TATTGTTAGTTTAAGTATTACTTTTAGTAATTGTAACCCTTTTTTTACATGGATTTCAAAGATTTACCTTTCAAATTGTTTTTGTTCTTATTTTCGCCATAGATTAAATAAAATGCTGCAGCAATACTCCATGGTTTTCTTGAATATTTAATAGATATAGCTTTTATTAATGCTTTAAATATTTAAGTTGTTTAAATTTTTTGAAAAGTAGTAAAACTTATGCAATTTTGGTGCTTAACACATGTGATACTTTACAGGGAATTTTACAAATCTTCATCCTATCCGAAGAAAGGACTGTCAGGACGACTTACTGATTTTCCATCAGCACCATCAAACTACCTTCCGAAACTTGTTGATACACCTTTGAAAGATGAAATAATTTCTTCTGTTGTAAGTTTTGAAGTTATTACTTTTTGTACTTGTTTACATTTCAATTTAGAAAAATGAATAATTAATTAAAAAAGTGGTCAGTTCAAGAAATTAAAGTTAATTTTGTCAAACGAAAATGCATTCTTAATACTGCCAAACAGTTGCTAAATTATTCCAGTTTAGAAACAGAATTTTTTATTTAATTTTTGAGTACATTAAAATTACTTAATCTCTGATAAATCTTCAAAAATGAACTTGCAATTGAATAAATCGTTTTATCAGATATACTTGACAAAAGTTAAGATAAGTGATGTCTTAAGTAGTTTGGTTGCAGAATTGTATATGTGATAGACCAGCTAGCCACATTGTTTGCACAAGATGCGGATTTGAACTCGTTGGACGTCTTCAAAAAGTTTGTCCTAATCATCCAAAAAAATTGGCCTTAATGGATCATCGTGAATGCCCAAATAGGCTATGCAAAAGTATTCATTTGATTGAAGTATCACTTCAACATCAATAAATGTACGAAAAGGAAAAAACAAGTGAATGGAAGAATCGAGTCGCAAATTTACGTAGAATCTTTGGCATTAACGACAACACTGGAATCGTTTTTTTTCTGAAAAAAATCGGTTTCGACGACTTAATCAAACGAAAAATTCATATAATTAATGTGTAATAAAGTTTGCTTGGCTTATTCTTAGTCTTTGCGTTTGATAATTACCATATATTTTATTTGAAATTTAATTTCTGATATTTTTATGTATACTTTATATTGTATACTTTTACAGTAAGCAAAGTACGAGTTGTAATCAATGCGTTGTTGGATGATTTGATGTGATTTCATCTAATAACTAGTTTATTTTTAATAAGGGACTTAAATATTGAGAGAATACAAATTTTAATCATTCAGTTTTATATTATTTAAAAATTTCCTTGTAAAATTAATGTAATTATGTATAATAATTGCTCGATCATAGAAATGTTGCGCTGCTTCTGTTATTTGCTCACATTTTCTTCAGTGTTATGAATTTTAAATTTTGAGGAAAAATTAATAATCTGTATATTCAAAAATGATTTCGTCTCGTTTAAAAAAGGCCATTTGAGAAATGCATATATATATATATTATAGAGTTTGTGTTAGTTAAAAATATGCTAATCTCTATTTATTTGTATTAATTTTTTGAATAGCTCTGAGACGGTTATTATATTTTCAAAGCTTACTTATTTTCTATATAGTTGTTAATAATATATCTTCATCTTCACTACATTAGTTCACTTCAATGCATTATTACTAATTAAATTTGAAATAGAATAAAGTCACTTTTGTTACAATCATTATTGTAAATATTCGTCAAAAAATTTTTTTGCAACTTTTTAATAATAATTCCAAAAACTAGAGTGTTGTTTACGTCTTGCCTTAAAAACCATTTAAATTGCCTAAATTTTTTACATATATATTTTTCAAACCAATTTAAACTTCCTCTGGTACATCTGAAGTATTTTAGGGTATGATTTTTTTTCCTTAAAAAAATTGAAGTAATGCTGGAAAATTCCGCGAGATTGGACAATTGACTGAAATTACAATGTCATTAAAAAGTGGTACAAAATGTTTCCATCCAAAGCAAAGCTGAAAAATATATATATATATAAACTTTGAAAGTAATTGAAATCAGAATTTTTGAATTCGTAATATATAAGGATTGATTTTAGTGCAACAATTTAGAATTCATGCGTTTCTCCACATTCTAGAATTTATATACACAAGCTTCTTAATTATTCATAATTACTGGGAATTCAACAAATTAGAGATTCGTGGAAATTTTGTTACCTACCTAGTATTCTAACTTGGTAAATTTTGAAAGTGTGAAGTGGTGAGATAGCAAGTTTCATAGTGAAACAAATAGCAACTTTTAAACGGGAAGATAAAAACTGATTTTAAGTGATTATTTATTTTCTGAAAGTACTTGATCATTATTCTAACTCAAAGATTTAGCGTTTATTCTGGGAAATTATTTACACTACTGATTAATTTGTTGTACTAAATTCAAAGCATGCAGATTGATCCACATTTTAAAAATTGGCCTTATCACTATCTTGAATCAGTAAATACAATTGAAATTTATTGAAATAAAATTAATTTATTAAAATCAAAGTTAACAATTTTTGCAAATAACTTTGAGATTCTTTGCTAGATCGCAGTGATGCTGTGCTATATTTATCAATCCTTTTATCAGTAATTTCAGGTAAATGACGTTCTACGGTTTATTTATTTTTATCATTTGTTTCTCAGCATTAATATGTAATGGATTAGAATTGAAGAAATTGAAAAAAGATGACACATATTCAGAAGAATTACTTATCAAACGGCTGAAAAGCGAACATTTATTAGCGCAATTTCGATTTGTCATTACTTCCGATGTTAAGTCAGGTTACTTTGTTCTTTTATGATCAGTGCTTCTGTTGATTTTTTGATTGGTTAATTTTCATTCCTTATATTTTGTGACTGATTCAACAAGCATAAATGTGAAAACTGTTGTTATATGACTTCTTTTAGAAAATAATGTAGAAAGTATTTCTGAATTTAAAATTGAAATTTGTATGTCTTATTAAGTTTTTCAGGATTGGATTATCTTCTCTTCCCACGGATTATTAGTGAAGTAGTAACAAAGCATCATATCGAAGAGTTTCATATGTCACTCACACATGGTACTGTCTTTCTCTGATGGTATTTTTACCTAAATTTGCAATAAATGGATTCTTGCCCAGTTTTTTTTTAATCGAAGTTTGAAGTTTTTTAATGTATTTTTGTTTATTTGTGCTGTACTGACCACAGAGTTTCATTTTATGAATGGGTATAGAATAAGCAGTAAATTGAATTAGTTCAAGCCAAGTAATACAAATTTGTAAAATCCATTTCTTAGGTTCTTGGCGACTGAATGAGTGGGGAGTTCCACCTCAACCTGCTAGCCCAAGTGGTGCAGAACTATATGCTTGGATTTATGGAAATAATACGCGGTAGTCTTTTATTTTTCTCTCTGAAGATGTATAGTAACTTCAGAACTGAACACATACATTTTAATGAAGGCGAAGTATATTTAATTTGTATCTATTTTTAGAAAATCAGTTGATGAACGGTGGGTAAGTTTTGTTAATTCCATGAACGGCATTTTTTGTACATCGCTTCTTGATATTTTGTCTACTTATACTGCTGCACCACAGATTTCATTTTCGAGGATGGGTTATTCTAATTCAGAAGTTTCATCAGAAATCAGGTAGCATACTTTTTTCACATATATCATTGCAAATCTATCAATGATTCTAATTAACTACTGAAAAGAAAACATATTTCTAAAAATTTACTTTTTCCATATTTTTGTTTTCAGATATGGAGCTTTGTCGAGAGAAACGGTTTGCACTGAAAACTTTACGCCGTGGAAAAAGTTACTTCCTTGCAAACAAGCATGTTTTTATTGACTTTTATGAAGAATCATTTTTCAATAACTTTATTTCGCACTTCAAATAAGGAATCTGGTGTCATTCAATTTGAGTGAAACTTCAGTTTTCAATTTCAAAATATTCATTAAGATTGGCATGATGTATGGATTATTTCAGACTGGTTTATCAATGTTGCTGAATCCTATCAAAATCTACGAATCTGTCTTTCATTCGATGTCTGTGCATTTTCTCCACATATGCAAAGTGTGTTACCAAATTTCTTGATGATATTTTCCTGTTCTCATTAATAATTTTTTAGCAGTATTGCTGACTTTTCTATAACCCTGGGGGTTGTGGAGTTGATTATAATTATCTTCTCATATGAACGGTAAATCTAAATCGTTTGCTTTATTTCATCCATTCTCATTTCACTGAACATATTCTTAACTAGACTGAGTTCAAATTAATAGCACCACCTATCTCTGAATCTTTTTATTTGTGACGTAACTTGATGTTGATCTTTTTTAACTGCGTAATTATTAAGGAGCTTTTCAAATAATATAACAGCTTTTGGCTTTAAAAAATGATTTAGTAGTTCTATTTGCAGGATGGATCGGTGAGTTGTGGAGATCGTCGAAGACTAGAACTTAATCTGAATTTCGTGTCTGAAATAGATTTGAAGTCAAGAAGTCTAAGTAAATTATGCTTTTTTAATGCTTTAAATTATTATATTATATGTCTAGCTTACAGCACGTTTCTAGATTGGAGTTTCCGGAGTGTATTTGGTAGGCAACTTGATCAAAAATGTATGGTAGCAGACAGAGATCTTGTTTTGTTCGAAATAGATCGTAAGGTAGTATTAATGAAATTTCGTTTCTAGACAGGATTGGTTTTGTCGTGAAATGAATGCTATATTAAACGGGATAAAACTATGTGATATGACATACATGAACGTATTATTCCATTTTAGGTCAAAATGCAAGGCCATCTGTTGCAAAAAAAGAACGACCGCGTTTACTCTGTTTACAATATTTCCGCTTATTCACCGAGTGATTTCCCGCTCGATATAAGTGCGAAATATAATACTCATCTGAATCTGCCTGTCGATGATAGTTCCACTTTAGTCACGTTCGTTTTTAACCAATGATGAGGCATTCTTAGTAGTTATAGAATGCTCTTGGATTTAAAAATTGACCATCATAGATTTTCGTTAACTTATGTTTCGTAACATTTATTTGCACCAAATAGCTACTTTTCTATATTTTAAGAGTGAAAAAAAAATCTTTGTTTTGAGCTCTGCTATGTAATTAGATCATCGCTTTTTCATACACCAAATTATTTTTACTCGGATTCAAATGAGCTATTTTTCACGTTTGAGCTACTCGTTTTTTTGATAATTTAACTCTCATATAAAATAAATGTATTTTCATAGAATACGAAGTTATGCAGCAGGTGTTGACCAGCAGTCAGGCCGTCTGATTAGTGTTCTGAGAAATGGGCAGCTCGTTTCTCAACGGGTCACGTATACTCATGTGGTGCCTTGGTTTCTTAGAATTTATTATCACACTATTAGTATCATTTGCCGTGCAGAAAATGTAGATGAGGTATGATTACGAAAAGATTATGAAATTGTTATTCCAATAAAGTAATATTTGGGTTAGAAGAGTCTTATTTTTACTGTAACTTTGGACTGATTTTTTTTGTAATCCAGTTATTTCATTCTCATCACTTAATGAATCGTTTTTAAATTATTTCAGGATCTTGAAGTAAAATATTCATACAAATATTCGATTTTTGAGGTTTATCAGCTTCCTTTGTGGGAAAATTCTTGTAGCATCACAAAAAATTGCTTTTAGGGAGAAGTTCTTAACCCTAAAGTTATTAGGAAGATATTTATTCCTGGAAAAGATCGGCAACGACCATTTCTCTTAGAATGGGACATAATTCTTCCAGCCAAATCCGTTTGCGAGTTTTCTTGGGAATTTGATAAAGCTTTTCTGAGGTTAGTTTCTAGAAATTTGCTAGAAGAACTTAAACGATGATAAAGTTTGGAAGTTTTGAAAAGTTCAAAGCTGATGTCATTTATTTTTCCAATCTTGGGATTTAGTTCGAACGCATCTAGATTCTCTTATATTTAGGGTTTTTATCAGCGTTGTTTTTGATAAGCGCTTTATTTTGTATCATAAGTCATTGTGAAGTTTGTAGTATTGATCCAATAAAATTATATTAATAATTACCTCGAAATCACTGATACTAGTATTTTATAAATAAGACAAGGGAAAGTTAAATGAACTCATTCATTCATTTTTCTTTCTTGATTTTTATAATTATAATGCTGTGCGGGTGCAGAATAAGTATGATTTCAGAGTGAATGAATACCCACCAGATGCTAATCATGGTTTTTACATTCCAGCACCTGTTATGAGTTTCAGTGCTGCTGATGAATTGTGGTTTAAAAATCGAACGGTTCTTGGAAATTCACTTGTGACTATTTATGATGAGTGAGTATTCCTATCAAGTGCTCTTAAGTTATTAAGTAACTTTTTGTAGCTATAAAACTTTTGTAGAATCTTGGGAAAGGAAACTGACCGCTCAATACGGATGTACGGTGAGATACTACTTATTTTGTTACCGGTACCAGACTTCAGCATGCCTTTCAACGTAATATGCCTTGTTTGTACAGCAATTGCTATGCTTTTTGGACCAGTACATTCGCTAACGACAAAAATGTCAGCTCATAATATTTTTTATTTTTCATATATTAAATGTTGCGTTCGAAAATATTATTTTTTGAAGTTGCTTGGTTTACTATATAGTTTCAAATTACGTCTGAGCTGATTTTCAGAATGATACCTCTTTCGGAAGAAAATAAGGATTTAGCTCCACTTCCTCCATTACGACGACTTTTGGTATTTATTTATAACCTGGTCTTTAAGCAAGTTGTGATGAAAATTTGGAAGAAATCGATACCGAAGAAGGAAAAAATTTCGTAAATAAAAGTTTTATTTGTTTTTATACACCAATAATCTTAGTAACGTGATCTAAATGTTGTCTAATACGGGCTTGTGAAAAAAAATTAATATGTTAGTTCGTGATGTGTGTGAATAATTAAGATTTGAATATATATTAATGATTTATTACATTGATGATACATGGATATTTTTTTAAATAATTATTTTATTTTCTTTAAAATCCATTTTAATCCCAGAAACTTTTGAATGAAGCGGTTTTACTGATCTCATAAACTTTCAGTTATCGTTTACTTCACACCTAATTATTTGTCATTTTTTGTAAGTTTTGTTTTTTATTTTATCGTTCACATACAAAAGGCTAGTCATTAATGTTTGATACTGAAAATAATGCTTATATTCAAATTATTAAAAAGTGTATATTAAGATGTATTATGTCTGTCTGTCGTAATTATTGTTTTTGCACTCAGGAGAGCGATAAATTTCAAACCTCATCTTTATGTTCATTTTCATCTTTCAGTGTTTGTCGTAAGGTTAAATAAAGAAAAATATCTGTTGAATGTTTTTTTTTTCGGCATCTGAAGCTTTGTTCTAAATGATTATCTGAAGTTCTTGCACTCTACTACATCTTATATTTCACAGAAGCGAAGCAGATATCGTAGCTAGTCTGTTTTTATCAAGTTTATGTATGATTGAAGCTAAATATATTTCTGACTGACAATATTTTAGAGTTTGCAGTCTGTTCATTTTTATTACTTGGCAATATGACAAGTTCGAGTAAAAATGGTATGTTTTGAAGAAATTATATTTACACATAACACTGAAAACTAGTAGTCCTGCGTTTTGATTTCGAACTGCATGATACATGGTTGATTCCGAGTTTTAAAAATAGTCTGTTCTTAATACAACATTATCAATCGTGTCGATGAATTTGGAAGTGATCATAAAATATAATTTATATTTAGAGATCATTTTTTGATTTTCCGTACTGGATATTGAGCGTAAATATTGTATTCTAATTATCATTACAATTTTGTTGCAAACTAAATTGAACGCTTTATTTTTTAGAAACTGTTACATTAGATAATATAAAAGACTTTGAACCACCTCAAATATTGCGAAATCAAGCCGAGAGTTGGAGTTTTTTGATGCATCCTCCTTTGAAGAAAAATAGTGGTAGCATCAAAAAAATTCCAGGAAGTTCGAAAGTGAACGCTGATTCTTCAGGTACGCGTTGATTTGATTTGCTGCAGACTTTGAAGAAGTTAAAATTTTGGAGCTTTATTAGAATAACATCTTCAAAAAATGTTCCATGTTTTTGATAGCTTCTATAAAATTATTGGTAAAAGTCAGTGCTGCGTTAAGTCATTTTAGATTTAATATAAACTCAGGTCCTCGTACGTCACGTTCTACGTTTTCTATTGATCAAAGCGAGATATCACATACTCCGAACATAACTGCACACACTACTTCAAAGTATTTAACTAATGCAGAAATCAAGGAAAGGGCAGATTACCTTCTATGTTCTGTTTTTGGACACAAGAAATATAAAACATCTATTCAGAAACAAGCAGTTTATACCATTACATCCAGTAAATTTTTATTTTATTAGTACATTTGTATTACTAGCGATTTTAAATATTATTAGCGTTGATTTAGATGCTGTATTTTGTCAAAAAGAATTTTTGCTTTTCGCTACGAATTGTCAGATCGAATACTTTTTTAGTTTATCAGTAATTCATGGAGAATTTTTTTCAAAATTTTTTCTCCACTTCCCTTTTTTATTGCCTTATTTTTAATTTTCATTGTATTTCTCTCTTCTCAAGTGTAAATGTTCTATGATGCATCATTAAGTTTTTCAGAAAAATCGGACGTGTTTATATCGTTGCCTACTGGTGCTGGAAAGTCGTTGTGTTATCAGGTGTAGTTATATTTCTTATTATTTTGCTAATATAGACATTATTTTTACCATTTCAGTTTTTATTATGTTTTATCCACTAATAATCCTGTTTTGAGTTGAAAAATTCTAATTTCAAGAATCACGATTCCAGTTACCTGCACTGATCCATCAACCGGGTGTGACGATTGTATTTTCACCATTGATAGCCTTAATTCAGGATCAAGTGCTCGCTTGCAAAGCTCGCGGAATCAAATGTGATTCACTTAATTCAAAAACTCACACGGAAGACAGAAAGCGCATTGTTGAAGTATACTTTTTGTTTAGGCTTGAAATTGTTGCAGCTAGCTAGTTAAGGAAATATTTTATTGAAAGCACTCTTTCTAACCAAAAAAGAGTTAGGAAAACGTATCAGTTAATGTAAATTTTAGGATATCAAAACACTCAAACCTGAGATACAATTATTATATATTACTCCGGAATCAGTCGCGACTCCGAACATTCAACGGATGATTGTGAATTTATTCAAAAGAAACTTGTTAAATTACTTTGTTGTGGATGAAGCACACTGTGTTACTCATTGGGGACATGATTTTAGACCAGACTATTTAAAACTTGGGATGTTAAGGGAACTTGCACCTGAGGTAATCTAAAATTAGTGATCTGAACCACAATTTTATTTCAGAATCTTTTCCAAACATGTTCAGTGTCATCTTTATTTAATCTGCTTGCTCATGGACATTTAAGGTATGCTGGATTGCATTAACTGCAACTGCTAATAAAAATGCTCAAGACGATATCATTAAACAGTTGAAGCTAAGTAATGTAAGAATATTCAAAGCATCAACATTCCGCGATAATCTTTTTTACGATGTAGTCATGAAAGATTTGTTATCATCTGCGCCAGAGGTTCTCTTTCATTTTAAATACTCATTGTGTTTTGTACACACCAATCTCAGCAATTATGTGAGCAATATTTACTTCTTCATCTACTTGCTTTTTATTATATCTTGTTTGGTGTAAATTAAATGGATATAGATAATATTCATTACTGTCAAATTGTTGTTAAGTTTTTATTGTAAGAATTTGCAGTCGTCACTAATTTATAAGTTTCTTCAGCGACATTTAGCTCTATTCCTGATGAAAGCTCTGGGACAGATTAAAAAATCTCATTCAAAAACTGTGGTTCCACCGAAGCAAGCAGCTGCAAAAATTGATAGACTAAAGGTGAACTTGACAGAGGACGCTAGTTTTTTGAAATCTAAAGAAATTCATGAGACTTCGACCGTGAGTAATTTTTGTTTTGCAGCGTTTTTTGCATTTTTTCTCCGTCATTTCAGGATTCCCATTTGTTTATTTATTTACAATACAAAATATTTTAATATTCTTAGCAATATTTAAGAATAAAGCTCTGATTACAAATTTAGTTTGAGGGAAGTGGTATTGTATATTGTCGCACACGGGAAGAATGTGAACGAATGGCAACTCGCCTGTCACAGGAAGGGATTCCCACATATGCTTATCATGCTGGCTTAGGAAATAAGGTTCTGGCATTTTTATTTTCCCTCGGTTCTTAGGTTTTGTAAAAAACATTCATAATCTTTATTTTTTTGTTTTCAGTCATCCTAGTTATTGTCATTCAAGTATGAAACTAATAATTTCATGAATTAAACCAGTGTTTTCTTCATGTTCTTGTGTATATAAGTTTGCATATTTTAAGTTGCGTGACGATATTCAAGACAAATGGATGAAAAATGTTATCCCTGTTATTGCAGCTACTATTTCGTTCGGAATGGGTATTGATAAATCCGATGTCAGGTTGCTTTTTTCATTTTTCTCATTTTTTACAAAAGAAAGGTTAATATCCATGAGCAAAATAATTTTGTCCCATTGTTTCAGAGTTGTTGTTCACTGGACTTGTTCTCAAAATTTGGCTGCATATTATCAAGAATCAGGTCGAGCTGGTCGTGATGGTAAACGAAGCTACTGTCGTATATATTATAGCAGAAACGATCGGCAGTTACTCAGCTTTTTGGTTAATCAAGATGTTATGAAAACAAGGGTATTATTTTACCAGTGTACTGTATGCCATAAAAAAACTTCTTGTCATTACAATCTTTTCGCTAAACTGTTATTTGCAGGCAAAGAAAATTGATAAGAAAGTGATTGATGAGCAAGTCAAAGCAGTGCAGCACGGCTTTGAGAAGATGATTGAATACTGTGAGAAAGCTCAGTAAGTTTGATTCGAATTGTCGTTGAGATTTAATTAGAATTTAATTAAATTTTTAAAAATTTACTGGTATTTTGTTTAGTTGTTGCCATTTAAGACTGAATACTCAAAATAATTTCTGGTCTTTGTAGTTATGCTTTCGATTGATAGGTTTCTGTTTTTTAAGATTCATATCTTCAGATGTAGACATATTGCTTTTGGACGCTATTTTGGCGATGATGATTTACGACCATGTGGAAAAAGTTGTGATTTCTGTAGAAACCCGAAGGTTGTGTATTTTTTATTTGCTTGAAGTTTCATGTAATTTGTTGTTCATTACTTGATTACATTTAGGAATGTGACAATATGTTATCCCAATTCAATGCTGAAGCTTGGAAAGATATTAGTAGTTCACGTTTTCGGAAACGTCGTAATGCTGATGATGAAGACAGTTTCTTATATGAAGGTGGTCGAGTGGGAGTTAAGTAAGTATGTATGAAGTGTTTATTCATCATATTACTTTATGATAATCGTTAAATTCTTCAGAGATACCAATGAATACGGTCGTGTAAAATCTGCTGGCAGTGAAGAAAAGCAATACCGAACGGAAATTGTGCAACAAGAATTTGCGAGACGTAGAAAGGTTGTCATCGATGACGTCCTTTTTATTTGTTTTTTCATTTCAATTATGAAAAAAATGATGACAGACAATTTTTTATAAAAACTGTATCGCGTGATCTGTAAATTTTTTTACCCTTTCCAAAATTTCGTTGATTCAAAAAATACATATGACATAATTTTTTTGATATTAGCTTTTATTAAACAAAAATAATGTGTAGGAGCAGATATAAAAATAAATTGTATTTACAGCAATTTTGATCAAATTTTCGTCATAATTAGTTACAAGATTAAATTTTAGCTTGCTACAAGTTCTGCAAATGATTATTGCACCGCTCAAGAAAGTAAGCATCAAAAGTGTATGTCACATTTTTCATTACTATGACTTAGCACATTCTTCTAATTTATCATTTTGATTTTTTTGAAAGTTATGTTTAGATATTTATAGATTTTGAAAAGTTAGTAGTTATTAAACCGTTTAGATGCTTAGATCTTCAAGTTTCAGCTTCTTCAAAGTTGATGGTTATTGAACCAACAGCAAAAAGCGTCGCTAACCTAACAGCCAATGTGCTTCTAAGTTCCAATACTTCTTTATTCTTGAAAAATTTTTTATCCTTGTTATATGAAATTTACCTGAGATTACTGTCACTTTAAAATGAATATTTATAAAAATAGTACAGAACCAAGCAGTCAATTTCGTTATAATTTGAAATCTCAATTTTTTATCTTTTGTATACTCATATTACTTCTAGTTACATTTATGAATTTTAGCGAAGGGAAACAATTCGCATTGCTCTGTTTGGGGCATTGTTATCGAATTTGTATGGAAGTGACGAAAGTGATATAAACATTGAGAAACTATCTTGTAGCATTGAATACGAAATATATAGAAATTCGAAAAACAATTTCACCTACCAGCATAAATCATCACAAAAAGTATGGAAGCTTACAGTGCTTTACTTATAAGTGGGACAATTTTTCAATAAATGGTGATACTTCATCTTTCCAAGACCGAGTGATATGCTTAATATGATGAGATTTAATTGAAATATTTCATAATTATTGACCTTGAATTCGAGTTGCATCCGGAACTTATTTCCAGATAGCTGAGATCAGAAAGCTGACTAAAGAAAACAAAAGGTATGCAATCAGTGATGGCGTGACTGATGAAAAACCAGAAACTTCAGGCTTCCAGAAAGTGTCAAGCTTAATTACTGAATGAGTATTACTGAGGAGTTACTTGTAGTTAACCAAAATTACTGAAGTCTGATTTATGCACTAGATGCATGTGAAACTGTGTGTTTTCCCTGTACAATCGTTTTATTTGTAATGTTTATCAAATCATGAGTCACTCTACTAAGTTAACTACTTTTACTTTGTTAAGTGAGATCAGTATATTCTTAATTTACCACTAATCAAGTTTAATTCCCTTTTTCATGAATTATCAAGATCTCGGAAACATTTGCTATTCATTTTGATAGCTTTTGTAATGTGCTCTCTTTCATATGAATAGCTTTTCAGGTGCAAAACATTGCTCAGTTAGTCGATTGCTGATCACATATTTTAAAGTACTTGAGGAAGTTTATGCTTGATATTACCTTATTTGCATCATAATTTAGGATATGAGGTATGTGCCAATATCATAGATGTATTTTATTTTAATTACTTTCTGCAAACGAACGCGTTGATAACAGATATGCAAATTTTGCAACCACACAGTATGATATAGTAATGAGAAATCTTAAAAAGTAAACTTCAGATATTGTAACTATGTAGTGTACTTTAGTCGTTAGCATCCATCTAAAAGTGTTGCAGGTGGGATTTCGTTTTTAACTCGTTCAGCCTCAGAACGGCCCGCAATTGTTGGTCGAAACACCGTGAAGTGACATTTGAACTAGAATTTTGAAACATTTCAATTGAGAGCCAGTACATAAATCTATAGGCTTGTCTTTAATAAACAACGGAATCAAGTTTAACTCTCACTCCTGCAGCAGCAGTAGTGAATGGAGTTTTCCACTATAAAAAGTTAGGACTAGCAGCATAATGCGATTAGTGTATTTCAAGAAAACAGGCAAACTTGGTTTGCCTATTTTAGTTATGTAAAAGTTGAGGATCAACTTCATCAAAATAATTCTATAGAATTCTAAACTGTTATCCAATAATAATTACGTGTAGGTAAAGATTTGGTATCGATAAGACTCATGGGAATTGTATGAAATTCACTGGAGAGAAGACTTAACCTTTCGGGAAATATGCAGAACACAGGAATCATTCCTCATATTCAAATAATTCGGAGCTGAGAATATCGTTACCAAACGCCCACCGGCAAAATATTTGTATCCTCCTTTGAACATCTGGAATTATCCGTCTTTTCAGTTGTAAATATTGTACATAGGGAGTTTCTTATAGCCAATTAAATAAACTTCTTTACAAACTGTAGTTGGAAAATGACATTTCTAGTTTATGTTGGTATAAATTTTGGTTTATCGCACACATCAAATTAAAAATTTAGTACAAGTAAAAAGTCTAACATCAGCTGTAAGTTGATGCCCACGAACAATTAAGTCAATATCATTTGCTTCACAAAATTCCCTGATAATTTTGCTACTGAATGTAAACGATATGCCTCGAGCACTCAATGCCCATCCTGGATAACGATCATCAGGATCAGACCATAACGTATCACACATCAAACCGTATGGTGGCACAATGCTTGGACGTGGCAGCTATAAATATGCGATATTGTGATTGCAACACACTTTGAATACATTCAATTATATAATCATAACAAGTAGCTTTGAAAAAAGTTATAAAAGTAAAAATTACTTGGTCATTTGACGTATCACACATTACAAGCTAACCAACAGAAATGATTAAGATCATTTAGGCAAGCAACTTTCATCAAACTTGATCGTACATTGTCAAGCATGTTTATATCTTTGAGATGTGGTGATAATCCACCATGCATACATAATATCCGTTCACTCACAATTGCAGCCAAAGGCATCATATTAAAAACCATCATAAATATATGCCATAGCTAAAATTAAAAATGAGTATTTCATGTATTGCAATTATATCCAACTTCATTTTTATTGAATAAAATTCTGTTTTTCTATGCAGGAAAAATTGTAAGAACATTTTACTCAGTATGATTAAATGTTAAAAGTAAATTAACTTGAGCATAATGGCTAAAAACTACTAATTAATTCAGTAATGAAAATTTTTGAAATATTTTAATTGCTGAAGCGATGATCGCTATTCTTCTTTTATAATCCAACTATACGTTTATTTTCTAGATAATAAACACAAAGCTTTGAGAAAAATATTACAAGTTCTCCTTGATCATTTGGGAACCGACTCGTGCATTCATCAAAAAAACCGTAAGTGAGCGTCGTATTAGCATCTTCGTGATTTCCGCGCAGCATATATACTCGAGTAGGATATTTGATTTTAAAACATAGCAACATTGTGACCGTTTCGATGCCCTAAAGATTATTACTATGAATTAAGAACTTACTTTACATGGAATTAAAATTTTAATTATTAATGAAGTTGCTAAAATTTTAGTGAAAAATTCATTTTTATCTTTATTTAACTATTATTATTAGAAATATCCACCATTGTGTGAATTAACAATAAAATCTGTAACAGTTACTAATATCCCATTAAAATGATACGAAAAACAGAAGGGAAAAGAAACCATCGAAAATGGCTAAAAATGATTGACTGAAATACATGCCTGTGATCCGCGATCAACATAATCACCAAGAAAAAGGTATGTCCGCAACAAAGGATTACCACATGTGCTCAAAATGCAACGAACGTCACGAAATTGCCCGTGAGTATCAGCGCATATTGTGATAGGAAGCATTTCACTAAAAAACAAAGAAATATTCATAACAACTGCACAATTCCAATCCTTTCTAAAAACATGAATTAACGCCAATCTTATCTGCAATAATAATCATGAAAAGATACTTTCCAATGCGTAACAACGGTCGTTGTTTAGAAAACGAATTTATGGCAAGTTCACACAACTGTCGGAGTTCATCAAACTTCAGATCAACAACATGAATTGGCGCAGGTCTTAATATCCTGAAAGAATTTTTTTTTTTAATTAAGTTTCATTAACATTAATACTTAACGTGTTAGATCTGAAGTCAATTTACCGTCAAAATCACAACGAATATAACTGTAATATAAAGAAGTCAGTAATATATCAGTAAAAAATGATGCCAAAAAAATATAAAAGAAAAAAAGCACCAAAAAAGTGGCTAGAAATGATTGACTAAAAAGTGATTCACCACTTGCTATCATTTAAGTGATAAATAATTCTGAACACTTAACAAGGAATAAACTTATTGCATATCTTTGAATATGTATTAGCGAGAAACAAATTATACCTCTCGTCGTAAACAATATGAAAGACTTTATATACGACCATTCTTTTAACAAAAAACTGTGCAGAACTGTTTTAT